CCCTGATGCTGGGAAAGACTGAAGGTCAAAGAAGAAGGGGACAGCAAAGGATGAGATGGTTAGACAGCGTCATAAATGCAACGAACATGAAATTAAGCAAACTCCGGAGCACGACGGAAGACACGAGGGCCTAGTGTGATGTGGTCCATGGGATCGCGAAGAGTTGGATTCGACTGTGCGACTGAACAACATAAATGAGTCAGCAAACTGGGTTCAGTTTCTGTTTCTCCACCACTTCAGGATGCAAGACAAAATGGTGTGGTGGTTCAGACCCATCCCCAGGACCATTCCTTCATCATGATAATGAATTCCCACCCTTACTACTTTGGAACTCTGAGATTACGTCTGAACTACAGGATTAAGTGTGATATATGCAACTTTCAGCCTTATTTTTCTTTGTTGTCTTCTGAACTTCCTTACTCTCTGCTCAAGCTCTCTTCAGTTTCTTGAGTCTCCATTCAGAGAACCTCGATCCTGTACCCCATTTCTCCTCCCAACCTCTACCACTGTCCCCCCTGCCCTCTGAGGACACTGTACACTTGTATAAATACAAGAGAAAGTTTATCTTTGGGATTAGGCAGACAGAATACATCTACCTTAAAGAGGACCACTTATATTAAAAATTATTTGCTTTGCTTAGTGGCGGTGGAAAGTGCTGTCAAGTTGTAGCTGACTTATGGCATCCCTGGATGGTTTTCAAGGCAAAAGGTGGCGGTTTGCCACTGCCTGCCCCTGCTTTGCAACCCTGGACTTCCTTGGTGGTCTCCCATCCAAATATTAACCAGGGCCGACCCTGCTTAGCTTCCAAAATCTGGTGAGGCTGGGCTGGGCTGGCCTGGGCCATCCAGGTCAGGGCTTGTGTTGCTTATGGGCTGCTTATTTCACAGATATTTTGTGACTTTGCATTTATCATTTAGTTATTTTAGTATAGTCTATTTCTAAATGCATTGTATTGTACTGCATCTTCTATCTGCCTTCTTTCCTTCTGCCATTTTATATGTTCAATAAAGATAAAATGCCAATTACTGTCTTCCTCTACCTTCTCCTATGAATTAAACCAGACATATCTTTCTAAGTTTGCGCTCGTGTAAAAACAGACTGAGTTTCTTTATCCTGGGATCTGAAGGGAGAGCACACGTAAAGGCCATATGTACGAAGCCTTCTCCTCCAAACTGGGTCTGTACAAACTTTCTACTTTATTTTACCTCAAAGGTCAGTTCAGTTCAGGATATGCTTATTGCAAACATTCTCCCCCCACACACATACACAAAGATTGTGTAAATGAAACCAAGGTTTGGTGTAGTGGTTAAGTGCACGGACTCTAATCTGGGAGAACCGGGTTTGATCCCCCACTCCTCCACTTGCAGCTACTGGATGACCTTCGGCAAGTCATAGTTCTGTCAGCTGTTCTCACAAGTTCATTAATGAACTTAACTTGTTAATTAACTTGTTCATTAATGATTTGGAGTTGGGAGTAAGCAGTGAAGTGGCTAAATTTGCGGATGATACGAAGTTGTTCAGGGTGGTGAAAACCAGTGAGGATTGTGAGGCACTCCAAAGGGATCTGTCAAGGATGGGCGAGTGGGCGTCAACATGGCAAATGGGGTTCAATGTGGCCAAGTGCAAGGTGATGCACATTGGAGACAAATTCCTAAATATAAATACACGTTGATGGGGTCTGAACTGGCAGAGACTGATCAAGAGAGAGATCTTGGAGTCGTAGTAGATAACTCACTGAAAATGTCGAGACAGTGTGTGACTGCAATAAAAAAGGCCAATGCTATGCTGGGGATTATTAGGAAGGGTATTGAAAACAGATCAGCCAATATCATAATGCCCCTATATAAATCAATGGTGAGACCTCATTTGGAATACTGTGTGCAGTTCTGGTCACCACACCTTAAAATGGATATTATAGCTTTGGAAAAAGTGCAGAAAAGGGCAACTCGAATGATAAAAGGGTTGGAACACTTTCCCTATGAGGAAAGGTTAAGGCGCTTAGGGCTCTTTAGCTTGGAGAAACGACGACTGAGGGGTGACATGATTGAGGTTTATAAGATTATGCATGGGAAAGAGCAGGTAGAGAAATAGGTACTTTTCTCCCTTTCTCACAGTACAAGAACTCGTGGGCACTCCATGAAATTGCTGAGCGGTCAGGTTAGAACGGATAAAAGGAAGTACTTCTTCACCCAAAGAGTGATTAACACTTGGAATTCACTGCCACAGGAAGTGGTGGCGGCTACAAGCATGGACGGCTTCAAAAGGGAATTAGATAAGCATATGGAGCAGAGGTCCATCAGTGGCTATTAACCACACGGTATAGATAGGGGCTCTGGGGCAAGTGATGCTCTGTCTTCTTGGTGCTTGGGAGGGGGGGTCAACAGTGGGAGGGCTTCTAATGTCCTGGCCCCACTGGTGGACCTCCTGATGGCACCTGGTATTTCTGGCCACTGTGTGACCCAGAGTGTTGGACAGGATGGGCCTTTGGCCTGATCCAACATTGGCATCTCTTATGTTCTTATGTTAAGTACAGTTCTGGAAAGAGTTCTCTCAGCCCCGCCTACCTCACAGGGTGTCTGTTGTGGGGAGGGGAAGGGGAAGGAGTTTGTAAACTGCTCTGAGACTCCTTCGGGTAGTGAAGGGCCATGGGGTATACATCCAATCTCCTCCTCCTCTGCAGAATGAAATTGGACCATGTTCACAGACCATACGAGTTGTCCAGCTTTGCATTCTAACAGCCACCCAGCACAAGTTAATCTAGAAGGTGTACTGTATCTTTCTCAAACTCTGGGTGGTCAACTGGCATAGCCATTTCTGGTAATCCAGGGGCACTGACATTGTCAGATCCTCCATCACGAGCTGCTACTGAGCCAGAGCTATATGGGAGGCACTAAGAAAGGCTAGAGTGGGAAATAAAGAATACCAGAGAACAAGAATACCAGAAATCAGCCGGCTTAACTATTTAAACACCCCCTTCCTTCTCTCACTGGATCTGCTTACCTCATCTCAGATACACTAGACAGGTTACTGTGCAACTGGAACATTGGTTCCTGCACCAGAATTTAACAATAATAATAATTAATCTCAAAAAGATAAACAAAGTTAGAAAAGGAGTCAAAAACGTCGACCAAAATGGTCAAGATCATCTATCCTATAAGGAAAGGCTAAAGCAGTTGGCCCTTTCTAGCTTATTCATTTATTTATTGGGTCATTTATAGTCCGCCTTTCTCACTTGGAGTCCAGGTGGATGACAGAGTGGGACATCCAGTAAGCAATGCAGAAGGCGTAGCGTTGCAGAATTAGTCAGAATCTGAAAGCAGAACTGAATCAAAGTGTAAGTCTTAGCATAATACATTAAATGATACAAAAACTACACAGGAGGGACCCTAGTTTCAGCAAGCTGAACAAGCAGTGTAGATCACAGTCCCTGACGATTTCTCTAAGTACCTTTGTGAATCGTTTACTTTACTGCCTGCATAGAAAAGCTCTCTTGAATAATTCAGTTCATCAGGGGCAAATAACAGGGACCATGCTGAAGTTTTATAAAGTTATACGTGATACAAAAAACTGATGAGAGAATTGTCTCCCCCGTTCCCGTACTAAACCTTGGAGTCACTCAATGAAACTGACTGGCAGTAGCGTCAGGATAGACAAAATAAAGTACTTTGCCCTAGGTAAAGGGCCCCTTGCTCGAAAGCTAGTCGAATCTGACTCTAGGGGGCGGTGCTCATCTCCGTTTCCAAGCCAAAGAGCCAGCACTGTCCGAAGACTTCTCCATGGTCATGTAACCGGCATGACTAAACACTGAGGCGCACGAAACACTGCTGCCTTCCCACTGAAGCAGTACCTATTTATCTACTTGCAATTTCTTGCTTTTGAACTGCTAGGTTGGCAGGAGCTGGGGCCAGAGACGGGAGCTCACTCCATCACGCGGCACACTTGGGTCTAGAACTGAGCCAGCATGATCCCTTAGTAATTAATGGTAATTAATTTGCACGTTTAGCTGCCGCAAGTGAACCATGATGGACATTAGCTTAGAACAGACAGCTTTAGTGGCATTCTACACATCACCCATGGAAGACAGAGCTATCTGTAGTCGCAAGCCAAGACGGCTGAAAGGAGCTCCCCTAGTGCAGTGGTAGCATCCCAATGACTATAATGCCCCCCCCCCGCTAACAGTGGGGAAAAGCTGCTGCATCCTCATCCCGCTTGTGGGCTTCCCAGAGGCATTTAGCCAGCTATTTGTGTGAAACAAAATGTTGGATCAGATGGACCTTCAATTTAATCAAGCAGACTACTTTACTTCTTGTGAATATAATTCACAATAATTCAGAACACTTCACATGCATGATCTTAGCATAAAACATGTTGACTTACCTTGCAGATCTGTTGTTTCACTATATTGCATATGGAGATGAAGAAGTGCTGAAGGCCTCTTGGCTGAGTTCAAGGAAGAGGCAAAAGTCAGACTAAGGACACCCCAGTTCCTAGACTCATCTTCTCATCTACCACACAACACCAGCACATTTGAGCTTAATTGCGAGTGAATATTTGTAACTCTTCTGGACAACATGATGAGATCTGAACAACAAGGGTGCAAGTCTTCCTCAACAGAGCCACTGGAGTTGGAATACATCAGTTGATGTCCCTGTGAAGCACCCTATCATTTCTACTGGCTGAGGAAAAGAACAACCCGGAATCCTCGGGTGTCAATATGCACTGGGATGGGAACACAGCAGCAAAGAGACAATGAGGGACAAACCCACCTAATACATGAGAGGGCAATATGGAAGACTGTTGTTTTGTTTTACCAGTAACACTGCACAAGGACAAACAGGAATTGATATCTACTACTGTCTTCAAAACCAACTTCACATCCACAAATTTATCAAAAGTTGATGCAGCACTGATAAATCTGTATGAAAAAAACAGGAATAATCTCTCCTTCCTCCTCACACCAACACACACATAGATGAAAATCAAACACACTTCCTTGGCTGACACACACCAGTTTTATTTACATATCAACAAAGACCATGAAGCACCAGCCTAATCCCCCCACCAGTAACATAGTGACATGAATGCCATAAATGAGTAGCTCATTCATGAGGCTAAATTCCACCCGTCTCCTTCCCAGCAAGAGCAGGATAATGGAGAGTTTGTACTGAAAACGCAGAAAGACCCGGATGCTGAGGTACTGGAGGCAAAACAAGATAGACAGGGCCACCCACAGGATGGAGGTAAACAGGCTACAGCTGAAATACAGCAAGAAACGAATGAAACCGTACATCCAACGTGACTTCAGGTAGATGTCGAAGTTGTTGTATTTGGTGCGCACCAAATGCGTGGTCCTTATTGGCCCACAGGCCGAATGCAAACATGTTGTGTGGGGACCATGGAAAGAGCGGACCCGTCGTGGAATGGGGATTACAGGCATCAGGCACCCCACCTTTTAGAGCTCTGGAGAGCCAGGTTTGCACGGAACATACCAGGCAATATCCATGGAGATGGGGGGAAAGACCACTGACTCAGGAATGGAAACATGGGGTTGACTTGCCAAGCTGGAAGTTGCCTGCAGGAAGGAACAGAAAAAGAGCCAATTTGAGAAACACCCCTAAAGGAAGGGGAAATCAGCTGGGTTGGTCAACTCTGTAAGCCAGATTCCAAGGCTTCAAGGCTGCTTCCCAGATGAAAACCAAGCACTAAGTAACACATCCATCTGTTGTGCAGTGATGCCAATTTGAATCAAATTCTCAGTGGGTTTTACAAGTTAAACTGACCTATGATTGCTCCAAAAATGTGTCTAGACAGCAACTGAACAAAGTGCTGCAGCCTACTGCCTAAAATCTTCCTGGCCATGGCGAACATCATAAAAAGAGTGTTGCAGCACAGGTATTGGTAAGAAAGCTGTAGATATTTAGATATTAGGATGGTAATGGCAGATGTATAATTTCTCCATACTCTGGGCATTGTATATTAAAGAACTAGTTGTCTCCTATGAGTCCCCAGGCACCGGCTGCATTTCTGGAATGCTGCAGTATATTCAGAAACATTCTATGCTGGAAGTAAAAGGTCAGCAATGAAACATCTCCATGATGCAGATTTGGTGACAAAGTTCAAATGTGTAGAGAAGAGAAAGCCAGGAAGTACCAAGGACCGGAAAGGGATCTATGATACTAACAGGAAGCAAGAACAATAAAGCAATCAGAGGAAACTGGCCAAGAGTATATATCATTTCTTAAAGGCATTTTCACATATGTAGGAAAAACCCACACACAAAACACGTGCCCTATCACCTGCATAAAATTGTGCAACTGTCTATCTCACTCCAATGATGTGTGTTTGGAAACATTCCTCAGGGCAACTGCTGTGGTGTTCTTTCCCAATTAGGTATTCCATGCAATTCCTTGTGTAACACACAAGATATCAGCTGTGGGATTTACGCATGGGGAAAATCAGAGAAAACCATGCAGAGCCGCTGTCACATTTACTTGAAGACAACTGTGCTTTTCCAGTTCTGTGATGGCCCTAAAAATCAATTCCACCCGATTCCCCACGCTTCCTACCACTTGCACCCACTGCATCTTCCCATAGCTAGTCATAGCAGCTTGTGGGATTACTGCGTGTCGGCCACTCTTGCCACCTGTGTCTCATGTCACGTCATCATGAGCCTCTTCTTGGCAGAGCTCTGACTCTTCCCCACAAGAAGCTCTATGTTGATGACCATGAAGACTGGCTGCCTTACAGAATCTAGTTGGAGAAACCTAGCCTCTTCCGGGAAAACGAAAGCTACAGACCTACCCGGGGCTGGAAGAAGCCATACGTGTCTCATCACTGGGTGCCGGAGTCGAGGGACTGGACCTCTGGCTCAGTTCCTTGTTCTTTAATTAAACACCACTCAGGCGTAATATGAAGGTCTAGGCCTGCACTATGGGTTGAAGGGAAACATCTGGATGTTGACATGGGAAAGTTGGCAAGTCACCTTTGAGTAACAGAGACCAACAGAGCGACACCCCCTGTCCACTGAGCTAGACCTCGCTCCTTTTGACACTCTGATTGACACTGCAGAAGGGAAGTCGTAAAGGGTTTCTCTCTTCTGAGCCGTCTAGTGCCAGCCACGGGTGCACGTCAAGGCCACTGTGGTAGTCTGAGTCCTGGACGGCCTAAAGGGCCCCCAGCCTGTCCAAGCCCTAAACGTGAAGAAGGAGCGTGGCACTTCTGCCCTTTGCGGTTAGCTGCAGCTGGAGCAGCCGGCTTCGGCTCTCCTCCTCAGGCACCCCCGCCCACCGAGAGCAGTGGACACACACACGCGCCACACACGACCGAGGGTGAACCACGCGCAGGTAGGTTCGGGGGAGGGGGGGTCTAGGGGAGAGAGACCACCCCGGCCCGGCCCGGCCCGGCCGCCGCCCAGCCGCACCTGCAGACGGTCCTCCGTCCAGACTCCGCGCGCTCCCTGTGGTGGGCTAAGCCGCCGCCGCTGCCGCTGCTGGTGCCTCTGCCGCCGCCGCCGCCGGGCCCGGCGATGTCGGGGCGCTGCTCCCATCATCGGCTCCCCCGGCCCGGCCACTGAGCGGCCTCGCGGGGCTGTGGGTGGGTGGGTGAGAGGAGGAGGAGGAGGAGGGGGCGGGCCCCCCCGGGGCCCCTGCGCTCGGCCCGACTCTCCCGGCTGGGGCGGCGGCGGCGGTTTTCTCAGCCCCCTCCTCCCGTCGGGCCGGGACGGGTCGGGACCCCC